GTTTGTGTGTGTGTAAAAGTGATGTATGTGTGTGTGTGCTGTTTGTGTGTAATGTGTGGGGGCCATTTAGTTAATATCCCCCCTCCCTACTTACCTTATGTAGTGAGGAGGGACCATGCTGCTGCCATCCCTGGTGGTCCAGTGGAGAATGAACTCTAGCCTGCGGGGCTAGAGTTCATTCTCGCGAGATGTGAGCGTTGCTGCGGTAACCGCGGCAATGCTCCGACCACGCGAGAGGAACCCGGCGGAGCTGCTGGCAAGAGCTCCCCGGGTCCTCTCCTGCCTCCCTCCATGCTGCTGTGGGCCGGTGAGGGAGATCTTTGATCTCCCTCACCAGCCCACAGAGAGGGGCACATAGCACGTGCCGTGGGGATTAGGGTGTGCCCAGGCACACCCCGTGCGCACGCCTATGACTTTGACAAACATAAAGGGTGCTCAGATGAGCTTACATTCTAGGAGATATCAAAGACTCTTTTCATAGTGAGATAAACCATAACCTAGATTATTTTATTCCACGCGCCAAACAAACCTGACATTCCAAATAAACCAGGCAACTTCGCACTATACAGTAGGAAACTCATATTGTAGGGTTGTGCTGAAGCCAACTGAATGCAAGGGACATATAAACGCCATTTGGAAAGCACTTAATCTTTTATGTGTGTAAGTATCCAGATTATTTTGTTTGTACTTTTTGATCTGTTATTTGTTTCATTAAAGTTTTTTTCTTCTCGATGGATCTGTTTCTCAATTAGTAAAATGAGGCATGAGGGCCATCAAACAATGACACATTTGTAAGTTTTATAATCGACAATTATAAAATATTTTTAGTAGAGCATGGGAAAGTTAATGCATTCTTATTTACCTTCCTTTCACATATCATTTGTATCAGTCTCTTCTTTTATATGCAGATTAAGGCCATATTCTTCTCTGATCCCTTTATTTAATTGTTGTTTTGTGTTTCAGGAGTCTTATCTTCTATGGAAATTATCACTTTGTTTTTCTTATCTAATAAAGGTTTTTTGGTCACTATGCTTGTGTACTGTGCCAAATTAACTTTTTGTTATAGATTGATTTATTTGATCATATTTACTTCTTGGCTTCCTATCTACTCCATAGAAATCCTAGGTAGGAATTGTACCACCGGCGCCTTAATCATAGAGCAGTTTGCCTGCTTTATATTTGTGAGTGTTCACTACAATTATTATTTTAGCTTTTTTATTGCAGCAGAGAGCACTATTATCCGCCTTTTTATATTCTTGTCACTATGGGTTCAACAAAACGACATCTCCTTCGGACACTTATACACATATCCCGTAAGTGGGGACTATACCACTGTACGCTGCTACAACTGGAGCTGGTCATAGCTCCATTAAATGTGAGTACGATACCGCTGTTTTATTATATATACCATGCTTATATTGATGTATTGCACTATTGGATTTCCTGTTCTTTCTGGTTTACATATCTCTACGGATCTTACCAAGGAACCTACTTTTCAGTAGAAGAATCTACCAGCTACCCAAGAACTCATACTGCATATAAAGGAGTTTTTCTTTTCATTCTGGACTACTTCACTTGATTACGGACAACAGTATTTATTGTATTCTTGTGGAGCAACCTTTTTGTTTATATACGTAGATATACAGTATTTTTGTTAAATAAATCATGACACGGTATAATATGTCATGTGTTGTTGTTCATCTGAGTTTGTATTGACCTAATTTTAAGACCAGCCAAGGAGCAGATGATTGCTATTATGTCTTGATATGTTAAAACCATAGAATTCAAAGAGGGTTTTCTTTCTTTCGCCCACGATTGTAGCTGTATGGTTTACCCCATAACATGAAATAAATGCTTTACAAATGTTGGTCCGATTTATGGAATGCTTCTTCTTGGGTAAGTTCCCAACGAGGCCCTCATAAATGTTAGAAAAAACAGAAGTGGGATGTTTCATCCATATATCATGATTATACTCTGCAAATGTATTCTGTGTGTTTATAATTCCGCAGTAAATATTCGCCCAGGTTATAAACAGAGAGGTCCTGCATGTTTTCCACCGGCAGGAGCTGTGACGTCACACCGAAGCCTGCTAGGATTTCTAAACATTGCATTCTTTCCATTAGCAATTCATGAATTATTTATACACTATCATGTTAACTAGTCACTTTCAGACTGTCTGTAAACCTAAGGTGAATTGCATAAAATATGTACCTTACTGTTGCCCTGGGAAAAAAGTATTCATAATTTCCTTTGACTATAATGTGTTAAAGGGACACTCCACTGCTCAAAACAAAACACTGATCCTCTCTCACCCCCCTACAAAACACAGCCTCTATCCCAAATTCTCTCTTTTTATCTCTTTTCTCACACATCGAAACGTACTGTAGTTATGGTACAGGTTGTTTTATGGTGGGATGACAGTGCTGCTTTAACTATAATAATGTTCTTGTAGTTTCATTTGACATTATTATACATAATCTCCTCACTACCCCACATTCTAGGTTAAATAGAATTAGGTTAGGATAGCAATGCCTTTAACAGTCCAAGATTAGTACAAGATAAGTAACGGAATAATCTGAATTCTATACTGTGTACGTAACACCCACAGGATCAGTATACAGTTCATCTTAGATGAGATTAAGAAGCCTTGCTGCATTCGAGTACAGAATCAACATGGAGTTGCCGTGAAGATTGTTAGGCTTTATTATCTACATATTTGAGATCTCTTGAAAAACGCAGTAACATCGTCCTTTGACTTTAATTCCTACTTGTTTTCGAAACTACCTAGAGGTGTCTTCAAAACAATTTTGGTCATCTAGAGTTAAAAAAAATAAAGTAAAAAAATAAAAGTTAAGACATGTCTGTACTGAAATGGAGAGGTTGTTCCCTAAGGCAAGCTATCTTACGCACACAATGCAAGTCGTTCACCGTGATGTTATATTTAGACTGCCTGATTTTCAGATTTTTATCACATTTTCAAGAATAACGTAGTCTTTGTTTGAATGATAAAATATGTAGCTCGTGGTTAAATTACCAATACTGTACTTCCTGCCTAAAGTCAAAAGTTAGCAACTGTGTCTTCTTTTGTAACTGTGTAGCAGACACATTCAAATTTGAAAGTAGGGCAGGTTCCAATCCAAACAACATTTTCAGAAGCTAAGAACATTGCATATTACAATAAACAAATAACAAAAAGGGATGAATTATGCTAACTTTTTGTCTAGAATTTTTTAGTTTTGGTAATTTACTCGTGGGCAGCAGGTGAAAGCCGGGTACAGGACACGAACAGCATTAATAGAACGCCTAAGTTAATTGCATGTGCCTTTTGGCTTAATTTGTATAAGTTCAAGAGAATCCGCATTTTTTTTTTATAAATCTCCTTAGTAACGCCTCTGTTACCTGTGTCACTCTCTTTGATGCATAGTTCAAAGTGGAAGTGATTGCAAAATATTGTTGGCAGATTAGTGACCGATGTGTGTGCTGTGTCTCAGATGTTTTCAGAGAACTGATGACTTCACAGGAGGTGGACTGGAGATTCAACTGGGGCTTGTATAAAACTGTGTAATAAATTCTAAGAGTTACCCCTATAACCAAAGCAATTTTAGCTGAATGAAGCTGTTTTGGTGTATAGACCATGGCCCTGCAGTGTCACTGCTCAATTCGCTATTGTTTTGGAGTTTTATCCCGTTCAGGAATATTTACTAAAGTCAGAACAGTCTGGGGGAAAAAGAAGGCTCTGTCTATGGAGTATCACACGATCTTGCAGGATCCTCCATAGCTCGTGTAGATAGAGTTTTACACACTTCTGTATGCGCGAGTGTGCAATACTGATACCAATAGCTGAAGAGGGCTACCAATAAGAAGAGGTGATGGCTGTGAGGGACATGTTCAGATAAATATAACCCGCCTTCCTCTGCACCTTTTAACCATTGCATTGCCAAACGAGCAGTTATTTTAATTGCCTAGAGGTCCTGTACCTCATCTTATAATAAGGAGTTAAATTGTTTGAGTGGTATAACCTAAAAGTTGTGTAGATGGCACCCGTTGGCTCTGCCACAACTCTACAAATTCAGAGGCGGGAATGAGTCAACTCTCGGTCAAAGGTGAGTAAATCAGTATAATTTGCATTGAATGCACCATATATCTTTGGGATAGCGATATTTTTCATTACAGGAACACTTTAAACACGCCCCTAGTGGCGGTCATACTGACCGCTACTGCACTGACCAAGTAAAACTGTCACGTTAAATGGAGTCAATGCTTTTTGTTAGAAAGAACATATGTGCGCGCGGCATTCGCCACACATGTGCCTCAGGTCAGGTCTTTTATTGTGGTTCCTAATAAAGTACCTGTCTTGAACCAAGGAGTGCCTGGACCTCTATTACTTTATTAGGTCTAGGAGATTGGACCATCACTGGAGATTGCCATGTCTACTTGATGTTGTGGGAGATGGAGCGGTGAGCAGCGCCAACGGAGTGTCAGCACCCGAAAAAGGCAAGTTAAGCAGTGATTTCTTTATTTTTACTGAAAAAGGGATTCTTGCATTAGATGCATCTTTCAAAACTACAGTAAATACAAAGGCGTATACTGTATGGTATTCTGCTAAAAAGGTAGTTGGTTGTTACCCCTTGCATATCTGAATAGTAACGAAGTGGAGTCATAACATATTCCCCATTCCATTGAGAAACTCCAGCAAGCTAGAGTGCTTTAGGTGTTTGGAGTATTGCTTTAACTCTGAAGTAAAGATCAAGTCAGGAAAATTTGAAAAAGACATCTAGGTGCTAATAAAGAATGGTATGCATTAGGTGTGCTCTGTACCATTTTATTTTGAAATTTCTTTTTTTTTTTTTTTAAATCAATTAAAATCACCAAGCAATTACTAAGTGAGACAACAAAGTCAACATTAATTTTAAAATGGACACCGAGCACCATAACCACATTCTACTCATTATATTTAACTTAATTTGTAATGTTTACAATGCATTAGACACAGGGTAGTGGTTTAATCAGTGTTTTATAAAGATCCAGTCATTAAAGGGACACTTGTAGGCATTGTGTTTGCTTCATTTCATTAACCTGGTTATAGTGTCTGGAGTCCCCTGGGACCATCATTCCATTTAACAATAAACAGTTTTTAATGTTTTTATGCTAAATGAGCATCCCAGGCAGTCCTCCCCTGTGTCAGCTGACTGCGTTTAGCCAATCAGAGCTCCAACAGACTGTACGACAACAAGGAAGTGTGTAATTTCTCCCTTAGCCACACCTCCAGAAGGGGCCGGACTTTGGGTGGCCAGGGACCCTTATATAGGTGCTAAACTACTTTAAAATGGTTTAACACTGAATGCAGGAACTGCGCCAGGGGACTCCAGGCACTGTAACTAATTTAAAGAGATGAAATTATTATAGTGACTACAGTGTCCCTTTATTCTTCATGCTAGAACACATTTTTTTTAAATATTTAAAGATAAAATATTGACAATAACAAATAAATCTTGACCATTTTGATACTTTATTGTGGATCATCTTGACACAAATACAGCAGCTTCTGTGGTACCATTTTCTGTCCTTCAAGGGAATGTCGATAGCGAATTTATAACACATACAGACTAGAAACTTCTATATTCACCACACAGGGTTTTGGGAAAGAAGATATTATACATGCGAATGTAACCAAGGCAGAGTCAGGACAAAAAAAAAACAAACAAAAACAAAACATAAATATGGACACAGACTGTGTGATCAAGTTTGAGTCCACGAGAAAACAGGATGGGCAAAATCTGAAGTTAAAACAATTGTTTACTGCCCCCCTAAATGCAAAGCGGCAGGGGAGTTTGAAGTGTAATGTGACTGAGTGACTGACCCAGGCATTGGAAAGGTAACAGTGTTTGTACACACTGTGTGATGTACAATATGTGAAGACTACTACAAGAATATTTACAGCAGAGCTCAAGGTACTGCCTATGTCTTTTTCAGATGTGTATAGTTTTCTGCATCCCTGAAGACTAATACTTTTTAATAGATCTGAAAAACATCATTAAGCACTTTGCCTTCGAAAAGACAGTGGGGGGGGGAGGAAGAGGTTATCAAGCGGACATCACATCTAATATGCAGTGGCACTTGTTAATTTGGACTGCAGTCAGTCTCTTCTATTATCTTTGGGATAGAGTGTGACTTTAGTGTTTCTAACACAGTATTCCGTGAATAACCTGCCGTCCATGTCTTCACTCCCTGTAACTATCTTTTTTTTTTTTTTATAACGTGTATAAAAAAAAGAAGTGAATTAAAAGTATCCAAGATTGACAACATACTTCAAGATTTCTGCTTTATAAGGTAAGAGAAACAGCCGTAAGAGTCTCTTGATGCATTTAACAGGTTGGGTATTAAGAGGCATTAAATGACAATAATGCACAGAAAAATGATTTCAATATCGAAATGGCAGCCCATGGTCTTCACCGAGATATCAGTCCCTTTTTGCATTTTCAGACACCCGGGCCATATAATAATTCCTGAATAAAATATTTAATAAAGGTTAAACATCATTGTAGTGCGATTAAGCCCACTTGAAAACATGATTGGGAATTACAGTAAGGCACCACCAGTTATGATTTCCCAGTAGCCATATGATTTGTAAATCTTGAAATCTTTTGCAATTAAAAAAAAGGCCTAAAACAAACCTAGGAATACAACGCTTGAATACCTCTATAACTGCAAAAGTGGGTAAACGTTTCATTTAATGGTACCCAGACTGTACAGCACAAACTAGAATATTTTATATGTAAATAAGTGGACTCTGGTTCAGAAGTACAGTGGGAGCAACACACAAAACAGGGCAACAAAAAACACACAGACACGCGGAAAGTAATTGAGATTTGTCTTTTTTCCAGTTTCTGGTGGTAAAAGTTACTTTGCAAGGAATGTCTTCAGACCTGCTTACTTTTTGGAGGAAGCCATCAGAGGCACATGGCATCAGCCTACCCAAAGGATGCAAAATTAGGGTACGGAGCAAAACAAGGGGATAGGAAATAATAAAGAAAACAAAATTCTGTAAGGTCATATCCTACAAGCAGTTCATGCACAACATGGTAAACTGTAGGTATGAGGGCGTTACAGGCTCACCGTAGCGATCATGATCTGGAATAACTATACACAGCCCCTTCCTAGATAGAGGTCTGTTTTGTTAGGTCTGCATCTCCGGTACAAATCAAACACGGGCAGTTTAAATTATTATCTCACACAGCTTCTCTAACAGATATTCTGTAGGTCATTAATCTATATTGCAGGAAAGGCCAAGTATGCTCTGCAGCTAGTGTAAACGGCATGGATCTCGACAAAGCGCAAAATTAACAATTTTACTGTCTGAGGGCAGAACCACTGGCAGCAAAATAGTTAAATGAACAACGTTGCCATTAAACAAGCTCCTCTTGGTCACTGAAGTGTCTAAAAATGACAAAATAAAAAGGATGGAGGTGGGAGGGGTGGATGGAGAGATTAATCCGCGCTTAAGTAACAGTAAAATTGAAGTCTCCTGCATCAGAAAAAAGGCAGAGCTAGAACATGCGTGTTTGGATCAGAACAATTGCTGAGTAATTCTGGATCTTTTCACTTTGTGTTCTGTTTGAGTGCTTCTTGCAGGAGGTGCAGAATAGAGAGAGGATAAAAGGAGAGGGAGATCACAATGTTCAAGATTCCGTCAGCGTTTCTTTGATCTCGCCGAGAACGTTGCCGAGTAGAGATGCTTCACTGCACTTCCCATCAATAGATATTGACTTGTCCCCCTATAAGAAACGAGGGAAAACGATAAAAGTCAAACAGATTATAGAACGCTCTGGACTTTTTAGAAATCTAGAATGGTCATTCCAGTTGTGCCAGAAGCCGCGAAGGAACATTAGCAGATCAACTACAACTCAATGCTGAAGAATTATTTATTGATCCAGTTTTGATCAAACTAGCCAACAATGGAGTCACAGAGAACTACAGGACAATATAATAAAGGAACATGCTAGGAATGCCTAATTCCACTGATCGTGCTAAAGCAGGACGAGTACCAGTTGTCTTCAGTCGCACTTACTAACATAAGAGGGAATGGAAGCCGCTTAACATTACAATGCATACATTTTCATTCACATTAAACCAGATGGGAGAAGTGCTAAACATGCCAAACATTAAATTACAGCCTTGAATGAATGGTAGCCACTCATGTTTTGTAAACTAGCAATGAAATCCGATTTGTTTCAATGGGAAACCAAGAATCAGCTGAAATTTCTAATCCACTTCTAGCTTGATGCCAAAAAAAGTCCCATTTAGCCATCTAGATTGTTTTTAGACATTAAATGGACACTATAGTCACTTGAACAACTTCAGCTTAATGAGGTTGTTGCTTGTAAGTACTGTATTTTCATATAAAATACAGTGTTTACATTGGAAGCTTGGAACACCTCTAGCTGCAGTCAGACGGCCACCAGAGGGACTTCCGCGTTCAGAAGCCCTGAAAAGGTTTCAGTCACGTCTGACGTATTCACGTATGGGTGAATACTTCAGACGTGCTATCAGCACACAAAGCACTGTGAATGTGCTTTGTGTGCTGAGGCTGTCAGCACTGTGTGGGACTGGCTTGAGGTGACAGGCTGAAGACCGAAGAGGAGGAGGGGAGGATTCAAACTGTGTAAGTAAACTTATTTAGTGAGTGTGGGTGGGTGACTGAGGGTGAGGATGGATATGGATGATGGGGAATGGATATGGATGGAGAAAGTGTGTGTGTGTCTAATTTTTTACTACTTGTGTGTTTTGCATATTAACACTATATATAGAGAGATCTCTATATATAGTGTTTCTATGCAAACATGCAAACACAGTTTGACTGTGGAGGAGGGCAGGCATAGAAAGCAAGCTGAGCTGTCAGACAGCTCAGCTCGCGAACGCGCATTCCGCGCACATGCGCGGTTGAGCGCTGAGCTTCTTCATAGGGTGGCATTCAATGCCGCTCTATGAAGAATGCGATTGGTGCAGCGCGAAACCGCGCATGCGCACCACATCGCGATGATGCTTCTCAAGGAGAAAAAAAAAAACCTTAATCTGATTTATGTTAAGTTCATATAAAAGCAAGAAAGAAGGCTGGGGGACCTGTCTTTCTTGCTTTTATATGTTGACTACAGTGTCCCTTTAAAATGTGCATTTTTCCAGACTGGCCATGTAAATTAAACCGCAGAATGTCATGACTGAGGTTTCGTTTTAAAGGAATGTCTACTGATGCACATGGTTACAAATAACCTTGCTCTATTATGACTCGTTCAAGCTTACTCATTAAATTGACCAGTTAATTGCAATTTCAATCAAATGCAAAAAAATCCCTCAGACCTGAATTTTCTTTCAAAGCCTCAGATGGCTGGGAACTTGAAATTTCCTCATTAATTCCTTCAATAAGCTTCAATAAGCTTGCTTGGTTTTAAATACGATAGTTTACAAAAAAAAACATCTCTATGTAATAAATACTGTGCATTCTGTGCAGACTGTGACGAAATATACAAATTGAATATAAAAGATAAAGTGTAAATGAGCTACAAATGACAAAGTGATTGCCAAATAAAGCCACAGTAATACAACAGCAACTGAAAAGGACAGGAGACTTTGGAAAATGTCCAACAAAGTACTCTCAAATCGGAGCATTTGCTCACATCTCTCCTGCAACCTACAGGTACAGGCAGGATGCTCTGACATTTTAAAAAAGTCTTGAAAAATAGAATGTGTTGACCAATAGGTCTGCTGCAACCAGCTTTGTGTGTTCATTTTCTTCCTGTAGGCAACTTAAAAGGATACCTCGCCTTATGTTCTTTTTAAAGAACATAAAATGCGGTCTACACATTGCTAGCAAGTGTCTCGTTTGGAAGAAAAACCTATTTAAAAATAGGTATTTCTCTAACTTCTCAGTCAAATATTGCCAAAATTATGGATGACAAGTGACAGCAGAAGTGACCTCCCAGAGGCACTCCGTCTGCTCTTCACACATAGCATGTGCTGTGGTTGCTATGGTAACCCCCTAGCCAATGCTGCTAATGTTGGCTAAGGAGTACAGAAACAAACTGATGTCAGCATGCGGGGGAATAAAGCCAGAATGTCAACATCACGGAGGAGACGTGTCCCCAAGCAGGGCAAGTCACAGAAGTCAGTAAGTGGAGCACTGGCGGAAGAGTAACACTAACAAAGCTATGGTGGGTAAATCAAAATATTTTACAATGAAGACCTCATGTATTTCTATGATATATAAGCTATTCAATGTGTTGGGGT